GGGGGGGGGGGGCTGAAGCATAATTTAACCCTTAACTAGTTACTATATAACTGGTATTTAAGAAGTATAGTATTTTGCGTTTTAGTTTTGACTGCTACTTGGATGTAAATGAGGTTATTAATAATAAAGAATTCATTTGACAGAGCATTTTGAAGAGAATTTTTACCTTTATCCAATCGTTATTATGTACCTGGAAGATGGGCACAATCACACTTTGTAACTGACATGTTCTCTCAGAGCTTCAGGGTCTTAGAATTGAAAGGGACTTTGAAGGTTCAATAATTCTCAAATGATGATCAAGCAACTCATATTAATACATAACAGGGATTTTGCTGTTCTATACCAAAGTGAGAAAAATAAAACGTATGTTATCTCTTGATTTAGTTAGCTAGATTTTTACTAGGCAAAGTCAGAAACTGTTTATATTTTTTTGTAAGACTGCCCTTAATTTTAATATTATGTCTTCCTATATGTTTCTTTAAAATATGTTTATTTTATGAAATGATACTGGACACTGGTATTGGTTTGAAAGTCTTTACTGGGCATTATAAAAACTTAGTAAGCATTTTTTCCAGTTTCTGATTTAAAAAGAATCCTGGTCTATGAAATTTATGTCTGGGAACCATTGACCTAATCTAATAACCCTTCTGTTACTGAAATTCTCTCCACAACATGCCCAGCATATTATGATTAAGAAATCCTAACACTTTTTGATATAGTCCTTTTCATCATCAGGCAAATTTTTAAAGAAAACTCCTTTTTTAAAAAATTCACTGAGATTTTCTTATAAATTTTCCCTTTCCAATTTTTATTTCTGAAATCATACCAAGAAAGCATAATTCTTATTCTAAATGTGGCCCAACAAATACATAAAGAGAAGCATTATTTCCTCCATGACCAAACAACCCTGTTTTCTTTGACTTCCTGACAATATTATTGCAAGTTACCCAACTTCCTTCCTGTCCTCGAAATCTGTTTTAGTTTGTCAGTGATACCCAAATTCTTGGTACTCAAGAATGAGTAAGTATCTAGTAGAGAATAACTCATCTCCAAATCTCTAGATCTTATGTCTTTGTTAGTACGTCTTACTATTAGCCACTTCATCATTCTTGAATTTTCAGTTTAATGTTTCAAATATTATTTTCTGCCTCTGGCTTATATTCTCACTCAGAAAACCAGAAAGTAGCAAATTAAGAAATGGCAGGCAAAAATTCACTTGTAGACAACTCACTTCAGGCAAATTATAGAGCTTTCATTAAAAGAAAAGATAAAAACAAAACAAAAACTCTTCTTCATTGTCTAGTACCTCTTGGATGGTCATCTCCTTGTTAAATTCAGTCCACTGTAAGGAATAATACTGGCTGATAGTTAAAGAGTCCATTCTTTATGGACTGCTCCATTTTAGACAAGATAGAGCCATAACATAAGGAAAGTTCAGCACAGGACAGACCAGGGGCCAAATCTATATTGCTCACCAGTTTTTATAAATAAGGTTTTATTGGAACATAGCCACACCCATTCATTTCGTGTTATCTGTTTGCTTCAGCGGTATGATGGCAAAGCTAAGTAGTTGCTACTGAATTCATATGACGCACAAAGCCTAAAATTTCTACTGTCTCTTTTTAGGAAAAGCCTGTTAATCCCTGAGTGACAGGACTATTTCTATTATGCATTTTGAGAGTAAGAAACAAGTCAGAGAGAGTTGAAGGAAATAAGAAAAGGTGAGAGAAACTTTCATGAACACCTATAATTAGAGCAGAGCTAGTTCCCAATCTTCTCAGTGAGAGGTGAGTACTGGTTGGGAGGAGAAATGAACAGCACTGACCTAATTATTATAGATTTGACATTTGCTTGAGAAAATATTTAGTTCCATATGGTAAGGCTGAAAAACTAGATGCCACAGTGCTGAGTTGCTGCAGAGGGGTAAGCTATTTTGCAGTAGTATATGTACTGTTATTTATGGATTACATTACAGCTCTTTTTTTTCCACAATGCTCAGAATTTTTCACAATCCTCTCCACCTTAAATTTGAAAATAAGGCAAACCAAAGAATTCTGTGTTTCACTATGTAGTATTCACCAGAGGAGATTTTAAAGAGCTGACTAAACAGATCTATAAGAAATTAAAATAATATTCATATATACCACACTGCTTTTGGGGGCAGTGAAATAACATCTGAGGAGATACTACCATTTGTAGTGAAATTAGTTTCTGTTTTATCCTGTTGCTAAATACATAGCAATGCAGATGTAATTCATATCTTGGTGGTGGTTTAAAAAGATCCTTTTATATTATAAGAGGTTTGTTTTTGTTTTGTTTTTAATCTGGAAAATGAAAGAGAAACTGAGCAAATCTTTATTTTTAATGTGTGTGAAACATGTTGGGCCCCTCAAAAAGGAAATAGAAGAAAGAAAAAGAAAAAAATTTGAAATAATGTAAAAAATGTCTGCATAGCAATTTTTCATTTGTGAATTAACAAACAAACAGACAAATTAGAAACTATTTTTTCTGTGCCATGAATTTGCATGGAAGACCATAACATTTAATCCATTGTGCTGTCCAAGATGCTTTTGTGTCTATGGTGCTGCTGATCAGGCTTGATCTCCTTAAAGGTTCTAGATATTTCTTCTTCATCAGAACTCTCTGTCCTGTGTTACATTCACTTGAAGCTTCAGGATGATGTCATGGATCCTGCTTAAGAAACTTCAAAAATAAAAGCCCATCTGTGGCACCAACTTTATAAGAAAACCTGAAAACTCCTACTTCTACTCCCACAGAATAGAAGATACCTGTATCATATAATGTACCTTGACTGGAAAGGTTACTGGCCTACAATGCCCTTCTAAGCCCTATTGGAAGCTGAAGCAAAAGGAAAAATACTCGATTGTATCATTTATCAAAACATTTTTTCACAATTTGAGCCAAGTGCAAAAGTTAATAGAAACTACATTTCCAAGAAAGAATCTGCGTAGCACTGTGTTGCCAATCTCTTTGCACACTATTGTTAAATTTGCTCTCATAAATCTTACTGGAGGGGAATGTGATCATGATGTGGACCAGGAATTGGGACTGATTGGAAATAACTGGTTTTATTGAATAGTAATGCAGGATCGTAAGACAGACAATAACATATTATTTGACTGATTTTAAATTTGGCTTTATTTAAAATTTTCATATTTTATTCACCATGGATTTTCATATATAAACTTTGATTTTAAAAAAATATTGCATTACAATATTTTTGATTACTGAGCTTTTTGTCATTTCTTTAAACATGGCTACTGAGATTAGTACCTCACTTATGTCTCCCTCCTCCTGGCCCTGTTAATCTGTTATTCAGATTTTGCCTCAGATATGATGTTGCTCTTTAAGAATCAAAAAAACTATGTGTAATCTTCTTCAATGCATGCATCTAGTCTAGAGTTTTTCAAATGTCCTAGAAACACGAAAATTCCAGAGATATTAATAGGTGTTCCATGAAAAATAAAGGTATATTATTAAAAAAGAAGTTTAAGAAGTTGCATATTATCTTTCTCTCTCTCTCTCTCTCTCTTTTTCTCTGGAAACTGACAGTTATATTAGCTTACTAGGTTCTGAGAAGTCTCATGATAAAGATAGCTGCTAAAACATTCTTAACCAAATTATTTGACTTGTTGCACAGAGTATCTGTTATCATTTTGGGGGATACCCATGTATGTATTATTTAACTATTACTGCACAACAGATGACCCTAAAATGTAGTGATTTACAATGACAATCAGCATTTACTATTTTACAGTTTCTGTAGGTCAAGAATTTGGAAGCAGTTTTACTGGGTAATTTTAGCATGGGCTGTCTTATAAGGTTCAGCCATGCTGTTCACCAGGACTGTCATCATCTGAAACTTTGGGGCAGGAGCAGCCTCCAAGGTGACTTCCAAGGTAATTGGCAAGTTGGTGCTGACTTTTGGCAAAAGATTTCAAGTTTTTTAAAGAAAGATTTACATGTGGATCTGCCCACAAGATGCTTGAGTCCTCATGACATGATAACTGGCTTTTCTCCAAGCCAGTGATATGAGAGAGAGACACGCAGAAGCTATCCTTTTTTTAATGACGTAACCTCAGAAGTCAAATGTTATCATGCTGACAATATTCTGTTTATTGAAAGTGAGTCATGAGATTTAGCCCACACTCAAGAGGACAGAGTAATGCTCCTCTGTTTGGGAAGAGTGTAAAAGAAATTATGAATCTATTCTTAAAACATCATAGAACATAATCTGGGAAATTTTGCTGCAATCTTCTGTTTTCTATCCAGATATTTTTACTCATTGAAGGCAGAAATCCAAGCTTAAACTTAGATTCCCAGCTGGCCAGCTATGCACTCTAATGCACAATAAGCCTAGGTAATTGTAGGGAATATCTACTGCTTTTCCCTACCTTCCTCTCTGGTAACAGCAATGCACTTTTCTTTTGGGTTCCAGAAATCCAATTATCCACAACTCCATATGGGCTTGGTGGGAACATCAGTTATGGTACCGCTGGTACCTTCATCATCATAGAGGTGGGCACAGGACCAGGTGGCCAATCAGAGACCCCATTCTCGTTTCTAGTGATTGCGTTAGTGATAGACACATGACCCAAGAAAGTTCTCTAATATTTTATATCTGTTGCTGAAGAATAACAGATGCCAAATCACAAAGAGGAAAGCATCTGTAGGAGGCAAAAAGAGAACCAACAGGGATGGGAAACAGAGCAAGAAAATCCTAATGGTATATGTTAGCCACTGGATTCAGTTGTGCATGAAGCCATTTCAGTTACATGGACCAAGTCATCCATTTATTTTTAAATCTAGTTTAAGTTTTGTTGTTGTTGTTGTTGTTGTTTTGTTTTGTTTTGCAGCTGAAGGAGATCTGATAGTTCAAATATGATGGCTCAGCAAATATAACTTTAAAAAAAAGTACCTCTAAGCATTAGACAAAACTAAGAAATAAATACGACAAATTTATGGAACAAACTGGTCTATTAGAGATGAAATTCCCAAAGTACTTTATTTCTTTTTTCTATATCATTTAGAGCTGTTTGTTCATTTTTTCCTACCCATGAGTCATCTATTTCAGGTCCTCTAGCTTTTCCAGTCACTCTCAGGTATGAATAAACAGTCACATATTTTAGTTAATAGAAAGGGTAGTTCCATTTAATATTCCACACCCAAACTTTCATTCAAATGAACATTTCTGATATCTCTGCTTCTCTGTCTCAGGAAAGACACAGTTCAACTTTTACCAATGTCCCCACTCACTTTTCCACACCATTTTTCCCAACATCCTGAGCCACTGTCTTCTCCAAGGTTGAAAACAGGTTGAGAGAGATTTATGAGACAGAAGTGACCTTTGGGTTTCACTGAATATTCGAATTCTTGCCTTCTTCCATGAACCATTAGGAAAGTTTTTGGAGACTCACATACACACACTATTATACACTTCCTGAGACTTCTCACTGACATTTTCCAACATAGGTGCTGCCTCTTTTGACCAGCTGCTTATGACTTGATGCCTGATTTCTGGAAGTCCACTTCCACAGATGTTATTTGTTGGATTCACATTGTCTTGTGGCTGTTTCTTTCATGCCGAGTCCAGGAGAACCAAAGCCATCTTTGAGGTCACACTTTCCAAGGGAAGCACTCATTATCCTGCTGCACCAAACTCTGGCAGAGTAGGTTTTTCCTAGGGTGGGTGATACTTAGGAGTCAACAAGGCAATTTGAAGTCTCCTTCTGTGAATGTCTGCAAAGATCCTGCAACTCATTTTAGAATGAGGGCACTTAGAGTTCTTGGCTCTGGAATTTCAGCCAATATTAGATAACAGGAAAGGTTCCATTTTAATATTCTTCACAACAATGTCAACTCTAGTTTTTAGGATAACTTTTGAGCAGAGGGCTTTGGTCACCACTTCTCATGATACTCCTTTTTTATTAACCCATCAGCATCTACTTCTTTCAAGGCTAGGTCTGGTGGTGACCTGTATAAGTAAATGTATGAGTCAGGAAAGTGTGTTTTAAATATACTTTCGGAGAGATGGAAAAGAAAGCAGTTAGTGTTCTTAAACTTGAGTCACTTATTGTCAAATGGTGTGGCAGAGCTGTCACAAATGGATTCCCAGGAACAAGACTGACAGATGCATTCATACCACCAACCACCTGTAGCTCACCTGTAAAACATATTCTTTAGGTGAAAGGGGAGAAATGCAGAACAGAAAGTCAGAAAGACTGAGATTTAAAAGGCTTCTGAATGAATGTAGTACAACTCAAAGTGTGCTCTGTTAGCCTACCTTGTACGAGGATATAACGTTAAGTTTTTTAATTTATATAACACAAGAGATCCTTCTCCTGAGAAGTGTATAATTGCACTATAGTTGTACCATTGATAAATGATTGAGGGATAGATACCCCATTCTCCATGATGTGCTTATTTCACATGGTATGCTGTATCAAAACATCTCATGTACTTCACAAATATAAACACCTAACATACCAAAAACATTTTAAAAATGATAATAAAAGTTATACTGTTCAATAACTTGCATGGAGGGGCATCAAAATTACAACCACAGGTAAAAATGGATACATTTGGGATGAATTTTGGAAGAAGCAAAAAAAAAAAACAGTTATAAGAGGAGCATGTAAATTAGGTATGAGTGGTTATTAGAAAATAACAGATGTAGTAAAATATAAAGATTATAATTTTCACATTAATTTAGGTATTCCACTTTTTTTAACAACTTGCTTCTTTAAAAATGACTCGAGCAGACCATTAATGCTTGATTTTAGACTCTAATTTATAGTTATTTGGTTTATTTCTAAAAAGAAGATGGAACCACCCTTTTTACCTATTAGGGCAGAGGCTTCTCACTTTTGAATCGAATCAAATGGTCTTCCCTGAAAGTTCGCAAAAGCTACTTAGTGCAAACAGTTCTTTTATTGATTTTTAGAATGCTTTAATCAATAGTATAAACCATTCATAATTTAATAATTTAATACCTAATTTAAGTCTCCTCTTATAATTGCCTTCCGCTTTTTTACATTTTCCAAAATTCACCTCTAATATGTCCATTTTTGCCTGTGGTTATAATTCTGGTTTCCCTCCATGCAAGTTATTCAACAGTGTAACTTTAGTGTAATCGATGAGTCAGTTCTCTAACTCAACAAATGTTACCCTGAAAGACAGGTGACATTCTATAATACTATCATTGTTTTATACATAAACATCAAGTTTCATTTTCTAATGTCATTATTGCTTAAACTCTTACTCAGATAACAGATAAGATTAAGTCATAGAATTTCTAAATTCATCAAAAGTACTCATTTTTGTTTTTTTAAGCAATATTTCTAAAAGTGATTTTAAAATGCAAGATCTGGCTTTATGAGGTAAGTACAAACTTAAAATTTTAGGATTTTTGTTGGAATAATGTTAAAAATCTTAAATGAGGCCTACTACGTCTTGTGCAATAGAATATGATTCTTTGTGGTAGCAAAAGAGAGTCAGTGATAAAAGAGACTCAAGATACAAGCCTAGAAAACCTAGCTCTCTCCTGTTTCAGAAGCTTCACTTAGTCAAGTGCAGGGATTATTGAATAAAAGCCATTTAGATCTGAAGGGGGCATACAGTGGGAGAATCATGAGGCAGAGTTGGAGTAGGATTGTGTCAGCAGTCAAGGAAATGCCTGAGTGTTTGGTCTTTATCCTATTACGCAGTTAGTTGCATCCAAAGAATTCTGAACAAAGGTGTGGCATGATCAAATTTGTGTCTGACTGCAATGTGGAAGAAAGATCTGAAAAGTCCAAATTTAGGGGCAGATAAGCTAGTGAGGAGGCTACTATAATTATCTCAGTTACATAGGACACCTTATTTAGAGAATGTTTCCCTGAATTCTTACTGTTGATAATCTAGAATCTAAGCACATGCCAGAAAGTTTTGCTGGTAATTTTTAGGTCAAGTGTACTTACTAGCATCCCAGATTTGTCAGTGGCTACATTTTGTCTGGTGCTAATGGCTGATGATATTCCAGATATGAGTCAGAGATTCCAATGCTAATTCTGATAAATATTGCTTCCATCCATCCTCTCCTGGTGTCCTATGCTTGGCTTCCAAATTTCCCGGTCACAAAGTCTAGGCAATGAGAAAGTCAAAAGGTAGGATATTTTAGAGTTTAAATTATTATATGTATATATATTGGCATTTCACCTAAAATCTGGTTTCAGAGTAAATGTCTCTCCCAAGGAATATTTGGGGTTTTAATGTTACACATAAGAAAAAGCTGAAAACCTGGATATGTGTATCAAGTATTTTGTTGATAAGATGAACATAGTATTCAAGTGGTTAAAAGAGGGCCTATTTTTGGTATAGATCAAAGAGGGCCTATTTTTGGTATAGATTCCTTTCTGTCGTGGATAATGATCTACTTTTATTCAGTTTTGTGCAGTGATCATTCAAAGGAGTGTCAAGAGAAACATGATTTAGAGAATGATAGAACAATCTTCTGAAACAGACAATGGATATGGCTTTGATACTACAAATATTATGGATCTAGATAAGGCACTTAATAATATGGCTTCAGATTCTCATGATATGTAATTCAGTGAAATACTATAGTCTCAGGATATTCTGGCTCTTATCACTCAAAGTTAGTAGAAATGGTATTAAAGAGATTCAGGTTTTACATTTATACTCAAAATCATTGAAATTTTATCTTCCAAGGGTGTTTAGAAGGACGATGGTGTGTGTGTTTGTGTCTGTGTGAAGTATCAGCTTTTAGTTGGTAAAATACTGATCTTTGATGATGGAAACCAAAATTCTTTCAAATTATATGTAACAGACATCAATTGCCCTACAAAACTATTTTCCAGTTTGATGAGTTGCCTTTTTCCTTGATTCCTGTTTATGCTTTCCAATCCAACTAGGGAAAATGAAATGGATCCTATTCGGCCAGAATTCTCTCCCGAAGTCTTACAAACTCAGTGGTTTGTTAATAGTGTACTAACACAAAGCAAACCAGTTTTTCTGTTGGAAAATTTCTAAGCGGGCTTCATCTCAACTCTGTTCTTTTGAGAGGACCCATAGGCATTTTCAAGGAGTGTGGATTTTATGACTGCAGCTTGAGTGCAGCTGTGTCTTTTCCAATCTAGGGCCAAGAGACAAAATGCAACATGAGATTTTTTAAACATTCCAAGGCCCATCTGCCATGTAACCCACTTATCTTTGTGGCTGCAAGTTCTTTATTGATCCAAAATGGTAAAGAAAAAAATATGGTAACAAAGGGGGAAAATGCAGGGGGAGAGAAAAGCCATAATTCCATTCTTTTGTTGTTCTTCCAGCAGCATCTGTGAGCAATTGTCACAATTACTAGTCAAACTGTATTTGACTTGTTGCCAACATGAATTTTCCAAAAACCCAATGTAAACAAACTCTGCAAGTACTTCCTCATTTGCCAAGCCAGTAATTATTTACTTTGTTTGGGCCTAGCATTAATGTCAGTTCAGCTTTACAGCCTGTAATGTGTTTGTTAATGAAACTGTGAGGTCTAAAGCTACATATTAACCTTGCCACCCTTCAATTTTGAGCTCAATAAAGTTGCACCATGGTTTTGTAAACTAGTGTTGGGGGACAGGCAAATGATTAATTATATTTTTCCCTTTTCCTTTATCCAAGCAAATTGTTAATCTTTAAGCCTGCCTTGCATTTTAAAGTTAACAAACTAAAATCCAGCCGCTGGGAGATATGATATTATTTAGACAAGTCTCCGTGGCTGTTTTGATGCCATATTTGGAAGTACTCAGCAGTGATGCTTGCATTGATGTTTAGTAACCTTGCAGGCACTGTGTGCTTCTTGAAAGGAAGGAAAATACCTTAGAAAATCTGGGAATATCTATTTGGTAGGAAAGTGATGGAATGCATGGTGGGGACCTAGTATTCATTTCATGGAAACTAAATCAAAGTCAGGTGTTTTCAGGATATTTGGGTAATTCTGCTAATAAAATAGACAAAAATTCCTGATCGGGGAGGAAGCTGAGAGCCTAGGGAGAAAAAAACTTCTGACTTTAAGGATATGATATTTTTCCCTCAGTCACAGTGGAATCTACTCTGTCTCTGGTCCATTAAATATACAGTGTGCACTGACTGCACCCTAGAGTACAACAGAGGGTGGGTAAAAAGCTTGATTCTCATGGAATTTCTATTTCATGGGAATTAGAAGGACAGATAGTAATCAAGAAAATAAATAGGCAGATTTATTCAAATCAGGGTAAATATTACAAAGTCAATGAAATAAAGGAATGAAGCGTGAAGTCACTGGTGCAACCACGTTTGTTTGGGTGGTCAGATAATGCATCTTCGAAAGGGAGACATTTGAGCTGATACCTGAATATTGTGACAGAGCCCCCATTAAACCTATGAGGAAAAAGCTTTTCAAGAAAAGGGGAACAGCAGCAAGTATTTGAGCTCTTTGGTAGGTACCAAGAAAAGGAGGAAAGCTGGTATTGGTGGTGCTCTCCAAACAACTTTAGACGTGAAAGGAAAGAAGTGATAGGGTTTTAGGATTACACCTTCAAGAACAGAAATTCTTCTGAAGATTACTGGGGCACCCTTGATTTGTTTAGGAGAGGGACAAACACAAAGGGCAAAGCACCTGGCTGATATTAAATAAAAATTCCCTGGAAAAATATCCCTTTTCATAAGCGCCTTTGTGACCACCTCCTTTTCCGAGTATTTGGAGGCTTCAAAGCCTCAGGAACTGTTACAGATTTGACTTACAGATGAAATTTAGCACTTTACTGGGGAGCTCTATTTGATTTACCTGACATGGAAATTGACTCTAGATAGAGGTGTCTATTTTATCTAATATAAAGCTGTAATGTTTCAGGAAGTTAGATGATTATTTTCTCCTTTATCTCCAGAGAAGGTGTGAGTAAATCCCCCCAAAGGAATAATTTTGTTTAGCATCAGAAACTGATGGTTGTGTTTGATTATGTAGTTTTGAGCTCAGAATAGGCATTTTATGCAAAAATCAATATGAATTATGGAAAGAATCTAGCATTTTAGTTACACAGTGTAAGAATTTTACAGTTAGCTACAGTGAGGAAGGAAACTACAGAAGGCAATTTCGAGACTCTCAGGAATTCTTTTTCTGGGGAAATACTTTACACTTAACAGTGTAAGTTGATGAAAAACGCGCAATTGGACATTCTCAAAATAAATGGTGAGAGAGAAAATGTAAAGAATCTTATGAAAAATGTAAATTCCTTATGAAAAATTATATTTTAATTTCCTCGTATGCCCAGAGTTCTTGCATTCATACCTTGCGGATTTTATTTAGCATATTTATTTTGAGGTAATCTTAGCTTATGAGCTAAAAATTTCAACTTATCTTACCAAAAATATTTTTACAAAAACAATCCTCAACCCTGGTTCACATAAATCACAAACAGAACAGAAATTGGTGGATAATTGGATTGAGCTCTGAGCTTAAAGATGAAGGAGACAAAAGCATGCCCCAAAGAAGCATTTGATAGTCTTAGTCTTATCTGTGGATGTTTTACACCAGGCGTGGAGGCAGTATTTGTTTACAATAATTTGTGCTATCTGTAGTGACATTTTATTTGAGCTGGTATCCTGTATCTAAGCCGGAACATCCATGTATAAGGGTTTGTTTTGCTCTCCTGCTTTGGTTCAGATGTGATGCTAAAGCAACACTGCCTCCTTTGAAGGCTGAGCTGGCAAGCTGAGGTGCTTGTTTCTAATAGAGGGACCAGGCTGTAGAGCAAGAATGATAACAGAAGACAATGACATGCCATGGGAGCTTTGCAACAGCTGTAGTCTTCAGAAGGCCAGAAACAGTGCTGCAAGCTACTTTTGTAGATATGGTGTACAGAACTTAATAAACGTAAACGCACTGGATCTGGAGTAATCGCAAACCTGCTAGCCCTCTGCTTATGCTTCTCAAGTAAATCTTGCAAATCCTCAGCGATATCTGAGTTTTTAAAAAGGGTCATCATTTGTGATAATAATCACTGAAAGATACACAGAGGCTCTTCCATATTGTTTATGGCTGGAATTTTAAGGAGCCACTGCATAGACAAAGAATGAGGTATGTTTCCTGTTAATGATCCAATGAGCCAAACATGTTTTCATGCATGTAATTTAGCCATTCTATGCAGATGCACACTGAGTAATGCTCCAGGCATTTCTACTTTTCTCTTGTTCACAGTCTTCCAATCTTTTTGTTACTCCTCCTCCTTTCTCTCAGCCCTTGTTTCTAGAAGGTTCTCTTCTAAGTCAGTGATGAAGTTGAGACTAACTTCAGTAGACATTCTGAAGCTAAGTGCTCAATGAATTAATGTTTTTAAAATATTTTAATTTATGCTGATGACTGCAAACAGTTTTTAAAATTCATTTTAATCTATTTTTAAATGTTTTTTTCCATCTCTGCAGAGTTAGGAATATGGAACAGAGAGAAAGCTTCAAAAATGTGGAAAGGAAACCATGATAAAATAAAATCAATTCAGCAAAAAAGGTTATTTTAAAAACTGTATTTGTGGAAAGCAATGACACTCATATTTAAGTTAGATTGAGAGTCATCCCAAGATCCCAAGATTGTAACCTACTGTATGAAAGACAAGGGCTTGGTTTAACCAGTTTTTTAAACTGAAAGAAACACCTGGAGGCAACACAGATATTTCAGACTCTTTTTTTTTTTGCATATGGATTTTACTAATAAACTCACATGTAGTTTAGTTACTTTATGATTCTTTTAATATCAGGGTAATGGAGCACTATATGTTATTCACCACACACTTCAGTAGTATGTTCCACTTTCATCTGTTTATTTGCTGATTCCTTGATTAGAAGACTAAGTGTCTACAATGATTAATAGACTAAGTATCCACTATAAGAAAGACCGTGAGGATAAAAAGAGAAGGAAGACCGAGCCTCTATCCTTGGGATCTTCTTAGGGCACACTTGTCTGTGCTCACGTATGCATATTCACATACACTTACACACATACACATATTGTCAAAGTATTTCATGTGCCAAATAATAACCTTGCCTGTCTACTTGGAATCTGGTGGTCAGAGTGTAAAGAGATATTTATTTTCAGCCTGAGGCTCAGAGAG